TATTTTTCAGTGATTGCCCTTTGTTATTTTCAGCCATCAGTATTCACATAGGTTTCAAATCTGTTATCACTTCGGCCATCAGTTTTCATTACCAAAAGACCTCTTAAAATTGAATTATTCTACTCTACTACATATACATTTTTCCAATGAGCAAACTCATTTGGCGGGGGATGACCATGTTGACATGGCTCTTGTTACCTTTTTTTATGGCCCCCTTCGAAGAAGAGAGGGTATTTGTTTTGCTAATGTCAGTAGGTCGGTCAGTTGGTCTGCCGTTTGTAGACTACTTGGTTTCCACGGATTATCTTAAAAACTATTTATCTCAAAGTCTTCATATTTCACATTACTGATTGGTCATATCTAGTAGATGACCCCTACTGATTTTGGGGTCACTAGGTCAGAGGTCAAGGTCACAGGGGCCTTTAATGTGAAAATGATTTCCGCTCATTATATTGATTACTATTTATCACAAAGTCTTCATATTTCTCATATCAATTGGTCATAACTATTAGATGACCCCTAAAGATTTTGCAGTCACAATGTCAAAGGTCAAGGTCACAGGGGCCTTAAATGGTAGTATGGTTTCCCCTCATTATCTTGAAAGCTAGTTATCACAAAGTTTTCGTATTTCACATAGTGATTGGTCATAACTAGTAGATAACCCCTATTGATTTTTGGTCACTAGTTCGAAGGTCAAGGTCACACAGGCCTTAAATGTCAGAATGGTTTCTGGTTATTATCTTGAAAACTATTTATCACAAAGTCTTCATATTTCACATATTAATTAGTAATAACTATTAGATGACCACTATTGATTTGGGGTAACTAGGTTAAAGGTTAAGGTCACAGGTGTTTTAAATGTCAGAATGGTTTCTGCTCATTATCATGAAAACTATTTATCACAAAGTCTTCATATTTCACATATTGAATAGCCATATGTAGTAGATGACCCCTATTGATTTTGAGATCACTAGTTCAAAGGTCAAGGTCACAGGGGCCTTAAATGTAAATATGGTTTCCGCTTATTACCTTGAAAACTTTTTATCACAAAGTCTTCATATTTCACATATTTATTAGTCATAATGGGGTCACTAGTTCAAAGGTCACGCTCTTTATATTTCACATATTGCTTGGTTATAACTAGTAGGTCATTATTTTTCTTTCTTCCCCTAAGTGAACACTTCCTTATACCCATTTATGGCAAGTTTCTATTACAAAAATTACCAATAATGTGAGTCAAGGGCAAGAAAAAGGGGCATATGTGTTGTTTGACATTTCTTGTTAGTCCCCTACCGGTTTACCGGAGGGGACTTTAGGTTTACCCTCCGTCCGTCTGTCTGTCTGTCCGCACTCACAGGAGAGTAATTATGTGGCTAGAGGGACAATAGGTAACTGTTCTTTCTCTTTGATGTCATTCATTCCGTAATGCTTTTATGTGGCTATTTTGTTTTGCGTGGCTAAAAAGAACAATAGAGAGAACAATAAAGTAGCCACATAATTACTGTCCTGTGAGAACGTCCGTCTGTCTGTCAGTCTGTCTATCCGTCCACAAAAGTGGATCCCACGATAACTTGAAAAGGACTGAAAATATTTTTATGAAACTTGATATATGGATAGATGGTAGTATGGAGATTATGCACGTCTTTTTCTTTTCTTCCTATGTTGAAAATTCTGGTTGCTATGGCTACAAATAGGCTGAAAATATGGTAAATTTTACACATAAACTGGATCCAGTGATAACACAAAAAGTACTGGAAATATTTTTATGAAACTTGAATTATGGGTAGATGGCAGTCTGGAGATTATGCACGTCTTTTTCTTTTCTTCCTATGTTGAAAATTCTGGTTGCTATGGCAACAAATAGAATGAAAATATGGCAAATTTTACACATAAACTGAATCCAGTGATAACTCAAAAAGTACTGGAAATATTTTTATGAAACTTGACATATGGGTAGATGGCAGTCTTGAGATTATGCATGTCTTATCTGTTCTTCCTATTTTGAAAAAATATTGGTTGCCTTGGCAACAAATTGGCTTAAAACATGGCAAATATAACAATATTTGTGATTAGTCTAAAAGAGCTAAAAAATTTTATGAAATTGCATCTTTGAGTTATCTCCTCTTTAAGAATTTTGCTTTTAAAAATGTTATATTTTGGTAACAGGGATGTTTCAAATCTTAACTTTAGAGTGTCCTTCAGTCCGTTGTCTGTCTGTTCGTAAAAACTGTTTCCTGTGATCACTTTTAAAGAACTTTTCCAACAAATTTACTTAAAATAGAGAAAAATTGAAACATTAGTGAATGGCCAATGGATTGCTTGCAATACTATGATAATTGCTTGTTTATACAGCCTTAGATTTTTTTTTACCAATGTCTCATATTTACAAAGAACATACCTAAGGTAGTACTTTAAATTTGGATTGAGTTTGGGGTCGCTGGGAAAGTCTTGCATTTACATGTACATGTTTATCAATATTTTTCAAGTTCATCACTAGTCATAGCAATGACTTGCCAACTTATACTTTTTACAATTACAAAAAACCCACCCCATGACTCTGTCAAGTTATATATATAACTGTGTTTACATTTTTTTGTCAATTTTCCATCCTTAACTGAGTGAATGGGTAAACATTTTTAGCTCACCTGTCACAAAGTGACATGGTGAGCTTTTGTGATTGCTGGGGGTCATTGATTTTCACTAAATGAACATATAGTAAAAACTAAAATACCGTCTTGTCTGAAGGTACAAGACTTAGAGCTTTGATATTTGGTATATGATATCATCTATAGGTACTCTACAGAAGTTGTTCAAATTTTGCCTCTAGCGTCAAAATTAGCCCTGCCCCGGGGGTCATAGGTTTTCCTTATATGTATATACTATAGGTTAGAGGTTAGATATTTTGCATAAAACATTGTGTAGTGAATGTCTACCAAGATTGTTCAAATTATAGCCCTGGGGTCAAAAGTGGCTCCGCCCTAAGGGTCATTGATTTTCACTATGTACATATAGTAAAAAAATTAAAAAATCTTATTGTCTGAAGGTACAAGGCTTAGAGCTTTGATATTTGGTATATGATATCATCTATACATACTCTACCAATGTTGTTCAATTCTGGCTCTTGTGTCAAAATTAGCCCCGCCCCGGGGGTCATAGGTTGTTCTTAATGTACAGGGCTTCCATTAAGTTTTAAAATTTGGAAGTCAGAGATGGCAAAATCTCTAAAATTGGAAGTCACAAGATATAGGTAAAGAAGGAAAAGCACAAAATTTTGGAAGTCACAAGCCAAAATCAAGGAGTAAATGACTCACAAACTTCCATTTGTGGAAGCCCTGAATGTATATAATAAAAACTTTAAAATAATCATCTTCTCTAAATTGACAAAGGCTAGAGGTAAGATATTTTGCATGAAACATTGTGTAGTGAACCTTTAGCAAGATTGTTCAAATTATAGCCCTGGTGTCAAAATTGGCCCCGCCCCGGGGGTTATTGATTTTCACTATATGTACATATAGTAAAAAAATTAAAAAATCTTATTGTCTGAAGGTACAAAGCTTAGAGCTTTGATATTTGGTATATGATATCATCTATAGGTACTCTACCAAAGTTGTTTAAATTATGCCTCTCTAAGTGTTAAAATTGCCCTGCCCCAGAGGCGATAGTTTTCCTTATTATGTATATAGTAAAAACTTGAAAAATCATCTTCTCTGAATTGACAAAGGCTAGAGGTTAGATATTTGGCATGAGACTTTGTGTAGTGAACCTCTACCAAGGTTGTTCAACTTATAGCCCTGGGGTCAAAATTGGCCCCTCCACGGGGGTTATTGATTTTCACTATGTACATATAGTAAAAAATTTAAAAAATCTTATTGTCTGAAGGTACAAGGCTTAGAGCTTTGATGTTTGCTTCATAATATCATCCATAGGTCCTCTACCAAAGTTGTTCAAATTGAAATTGCCCCTGGTGTCAAAATTGGCCCTGCCCGGGGGCATTGATTTTCATTATGTACATGTACACAATCATAGTAAAAACAGAAACTTAAACAAATGTTTTCTGAATTGGAGAAAGCTACTGCTTAGATACATTGTATTTGACATGAAATATTGTTTGGTGGACCTGTATCAAGATTGTTTGAATTAAACCCTTGGGTCAAAATTTTGTCTTGCCCAAGGGGACAGTGACCTACATGTACAGCCATGAAAATTGGACCATGTGCACATTTTTATTTGTAAAATTGAACTTTGTTATCAGATGACCTAGACTTTGATGATGTGACCTACTTTTGATGCCCCCACAGAGTGGGAGCATATAGCGTTGCACTTGTCCGTCCGAGTGTCCGTACGTCAGTCCGTCCGTCTGTCCGTACGTCCCGAAATCTTGTGAACGCAACTCCTCTTAAACCGGATGGCAGATTTTGCTTAAACTTCCAGGGATGAACAACCTTAATGTGTAGATGGTAGTAAAGGAAGGAATTTTTTTGCTGCGACCAAATTTAACAGAATTATGGCCCTTTGTTGATTTTTAGTTTTCAACTTGTGGCACATGTAGTCCAAAAAATATTTGACCTAGAGTCATAAGATTGACAGAACAGTGGCGTGTGGGGGCATCCGTGTCCTATGGACACATTTCTAGTTTGTCCTTTAATGTGCAGCTATGAAATTTGAACCATGTGCACAGATTTAAGATGTAAAGTGAACTTTGATATCAGCTGGCCTAGAATTTGACAAAATGTCTTACTGTGTTGTCCTTTGATGTACAGTCATAGAATTTTGGCCATGTGAAATATGACTTTCACCACCAAATTCACTAGACTCAACTGCATTGATAGATTCCTACTCTGATCTTTTATTTGAATAACAATAGATTTAACCACTAATCTAAAAAAATTCTGTTCCTACATTATTATTTAGTGTTGTATTAATGCGGTGGCATAGCATTTTTCACAAATGCAATCTTGTTTTTTCCAGATTTAATTTTATGTCTCTTAACTTTCTTTCAGGTTAAAGTTGTTAAGTTCTCTTATATTTGGACAATCAATAACTTCAGCTTTTGTAGAGAAGAGATGGGTGAGGTACTGAAAAGCTCAACATTCTCGGCTGGAGCTAATGACAAGCTTAAATGGTATACTGAATGTTTAAGCATATTTTTATTTAAGATATTTATACCCCCCACAAAACATAGTTTTTGGGGGTATATAGGAATTACTTTGTCCTGTTCTGTCCCATCCTGCTACCTCAAGAACTGTTAGAGGTATTGACTTGAAACTTAACACATCAATGCAATATCACAATTCAGCTGTCTATGTCAAGTTTCATAACTCTGATAGTTGACAGAATAATGCCCCTTTTTAGTTGACTATACGAAGTATATGGAGAGCTGTCGTACTCCCCCCGGCGTCCGCATTAAAGTTTTGGTGCAGTAAAATATTTTTCACTATAACTTTTTCATTTTTAGCTCACCTGTCACAAAGTGACAGGGTGAGCTTTTGTGATCGCTTTTCGTCCGGCGTCCGTCCGTCCGTCGTCTGTCCGTCCGTCCGTCGTCCATCCGTAAACTTTTGCTTTAAATGACATCTCCTCATAAACCACTGAGCCAATTTCATCCAAACTTCACAGGAATGTTCCTTTGGTGGTCACCTTTAAAAATTGTTCAAAGAATTTAATTCCATGCAGAACTTTGGTTGCCATGGCAACCGAAAGAAAAATCTTTAAATATCTTCTTTTAAACAACCCTAAGAGCTAGAGCTTAGATATTTGGCATGAAACATCTTCTAATGAGTGTCTAGCAAGTTTGTTCAAATAAAAGCCCTGAGGTCAAAATTGGCCCCGCCCCGGGGGGTCATTGATTTTCCCTATATGCATATAGTAAAAACTTAAAAAATCTTCTTTTAAAGAACCGTAAGAGCTAGAGCTAAGATATTTAGCATGAAACATCTTCTAGTGAATGTCTACCAAGTTTGTTCAAATAAAAGCCCTTGGGTCAAAATTGGCCCCGCCCCGGGGGGTCATTGATTTTCCTTATATGCATATAGTAAAAACTTAAAAAATCTTCTTTTAAAGAACTGTAAGAGCTAGAGCTTAGATATTTGACATGAAACATCTTCTAGTGAATGTCTACCAAGTTTGTTCAAATAAAAGCCTTTGGGTCAAAATTGGCCCTGCCCCAGGGGGTCATTGATTTTCCCTATATGCATATAGTAAAAACTTAAAAAATCTTCTTTTAAAGAACCCAAAGAGCTAGAGCTAAGATATTTAGCATGAGACATGTTCTAATGGGTGTCTACCAAGTATGTTCAAATAAAAGCCCTGGGGTCAAAACTGGCCCCGCCCCGGGGGTCATTGATTTTCCTTATATGTGTATAGCAAAAACTTAAAAATCTTCTTTGAAAAAACCCAAATAGCTAGAGTTTAGATATTAAGCATGAAACATCTTTAAGTAAATATCTACAAAGTTTGTTCAAATAAAAGCCTGGGGGTCAAAACTGGGTGTCATTGTTTTTAACTATATGTGTATAGTAGAAACTTAAAAAATCTTCTTTTAAAAAACCCAATGAGCTAGAACTTAGATGTTTTGCATGAAACATCTTCTTATGGGTGTCTACCAAGTCTGTTCAAATAAACAAATAAAAGCCCTTGGGTAAAGATTGGCCCCGGGTGGGGGTGGGGGGCTATTTACAGGTGAGCGACCTCAGGGCCATCATGGCCCTCTTGTTATCAACTTCAAACTTCAAATATATGTTCCTTATCATCAACCACATCTTATGTGACAAGATTCATAACTCTAGCACCAATATTTTCAGATTTATCTCCCCTTGAACTTAGAATTTTCCTTAAAAAATATTATTTTTGTGTCGCCTTGAAAAGGTGACATATAGGGGTTACTTTTGTCGGCGGTGTCGGCGACGTCGGTGTCCCCTAAAGCTTGTCCGGAGCATAACTCAGTCACTATAAGTCTGATTGACTTCAAACTTGGTATGCATGCTTCTTTCAATAACCCGGAGTGCAGTGCACAAGGACCGGTACTCTGCAGTTCTTATTTTTTGAGTTATTGCCCTTTGTTAATTTTCATACTTTAATTTTGTCCGGGCCATTTCTCTTCAACTAAAAAAGCTATGGACTTGAAACTTCATAGGATGATAGATCTCATTAAGAAGAAATGCAGTGCACAAGAACCAGTACTCTGCACTTCCTAATTTTTGAGTTATTGCCCTTTGTTAATTTTCATACTTTATTTTTGTCCGGGCCATTTCTCCTTATGTATAAAAGCCATGGACTTGGAACTTCATAGGATGATAGGTCTCATTAAGAAGAAGTGCAGTCCACAAGAACTGGTACTCTGCATTTCTTATTTTTTGAGTTATTGCCCTTTGTTTATTTTCATACTTTAATTTTGTCCGGGCCATTTCTCCTCAAGTATAAAAGCTATGGACTTGAAACTTCATAGGATGATAGATCTCATTATTAAGAAGTGCAGTGCACAAGGATCGGTACTCTGCATTTCTAAATTTTTGAGTTATGGCCCTTTGTTAATTTTCATACTTAATTTTTGTCCAGGCCATTTCTCCGAAAGTATAAAAGTTATGGACTTGAAAAACTTCATAGGATGATAGATCTCATTAAAAAGAAGTGCAGTGCATAAGAACTGATACTCTGCATTTCTTATTTTTGAGTTATTGCCCTTTGTTGATTTTCTTACTTATTTTTGTCCTGCTCATTTCTCCTCAAGTATGAAAGCTATGGACTTGAAACATCATAGAATGATAGATCTTATTGATAAGAAGTGCAGTGTACAGAAACTGCTGCTCTGCACTTATTATTTTTTTAGTTATTGCCCTTTGTTATTTTTCATATTTCATTTTTGTCCTGGCCATTTCCCCTAAACTACATTGTTCACAAGGCGACACATCCGACTCGCGGAGTTCTAGTTTACTTTAACTTCTTTATTTCTTAAGGGAACATCTTCATACTTCAAATATATGTTCCTTATCATCAACCACATATTATGTGACAAAGTTCATAACTCTAGCACCACTATTTTCAGATTTATTTCCCCTTGAACTTTTTTCTTAAAAATTATGATTTTTTACTGTTACTTATTTATTAGCTCACCTGTCACAAAGTGACGTGGTGAGCTTTTGTGATTGCTTTTCGTCCGGCGTCCGTCCGTAAACTTTTACTTTAAATGACATCTCCTCTTAAACCACTAAGCCAATTTCATCCAAACTTCACAGGAATGTTCCTTTGGTGGTCACCTTTGAAAATTGTTCAAAGAATTTAATTCCATGCAGAACTCTGGTTGCCAAGGCAACGGAAAGAAAAAACTTTAAATATCTTCTTTTGAAAAACCCAAAGAGCTAGAGCTTAGATATTTGGCATAAAACATCTTCTAGTGAGTGTCTACCAAGTTTTTGTTCAAATAAAAGCCCTGGGGTCAAAATTGGCCCCGCCCCAGGGGTTTATTGATTTTCCCTATATGCATATAGTAAAAACTTAAAAAAATCTTCTTTTAAAGAACCCAAAAAGCTAGAGCTAAGATACTTAGCATGAAACATCTTCTAATGGTTGTCTACAAAGTTTGTTCAAATAAAAGCCCTGGGCCAGGGGTTAAAATTGGCCCCACCCCGGGGGTCATTGATTTTCCCTATATGCATATTAAGTAAGAACTTAAAAAATCTTCTTTTAGAGAACCCAAAGAGCTAGAGCTAAGATATTTAGCATGAAACATGTTCAAATGGGTGTCTACCAAGTTTTTTCAAATAAAAGCCCTGGGGTCAAAATTGGCCCCGCCACGGGGGTCATTGATTTTCCTTATATGTGTAAAGCAAAAACTTAAAAAAGTCATCTTTGAAAAAACTCAAATAGCTAGAGTTTAGATATTTAGCATGAAACATCTTCTAGTGAGTGTCTACAAAGTTTGTTCAAATAAAAGCCCTGGGGTCAAAATTTGCCCCACCCTGGGGGACATTGTAAATCCTTATATGTGTATAGCAAAAACCCGAATAGCTAGAGTTTAGATATTAAGCATGAAACATCTTCTAGTAAGTGCCTACAAAGAATGTTCGAATAAAAGCCCTGGGGTCAAAACTGGCCTCGCCCCAGGGGTGTCATTGTTTTTAACTATATTTGTAAAGTAAAAACTTAAAAAATCTTCTTTTAAAAAGCCAATGAGCTAGAGTTTAGATGTTTAGCATAAAACATCTTCTAATGGGTGTCTACCAAGTTTGTTCAAAATAAAAGCCCTTTGATTTTCCTTTTATATGTGTATAATAAAAACTTAAAAAATCTTCTTTTAAAAAACCTAAAGAGCTAGAGTTAAGATACTAATCATGAAACACCATTGAATGAGTGTCTACCAAGTTTGTTCAATTAAAACCCTGGGGTAAAAATTGGACCCGCCGGGGGGTGGGGGGGTCTTTGTTTTTCATTATATTCTTATTCCTTATCACCAATTACATGTTATGTCACAAGGTTCATAACTCTTGAAGCAATATTTTCAGATTTATCTTTCTTTGAAGGATTTTCTTTAAGAAATATTATAACTTTTTTACTTTTTAAGGTATCTACTTCAAACTTCAAATATATATTTCTTATGATTACACACATGATGTGTGACAAGGTTCATAACTCTGGCTTGACTATTTCCAGAATTATTCCCCCTTGAACTTGGAATTTATGTTAACAAATGTAATTTGTTTACTTTAACTTAATACATAATGATACATAATTGAATTTTCATATAGTTTTGTCTTCCTTACTCAACCAGTATTTTATTTGTCGAGTTTCTTTGTCTCCTGTGACAGCTAATGTTGACTCAATTGTCATCAAACTTGGTCAGGATGCTTGTCTAGGTAATTGCTCAGATTAGTTCGAACATGGGTCATTTCGTATTAAAAACTAGGTCACATGAGCTAAAAATAGAAAAATCTTGTTAACATTCTAGTGGCTACTGTTTTGATCCATATATCCTGTAAATTTGTCTGAAAGTTTGTTTTGATGTTTTCTAGGTCAAGTTGGAACATGGGTCATCTCGGATGAAAAACTAGGTCACACTGCCCAAATATGGAAAAAATCTTGTTAACACTCTAGTGGTCACATTTTTGACTCAATTATCATCAAACTTGG